AGAAGACAGGTGGGAACAACTAAACGTATTTGGAGACAAAATTACAGATACTCTTAGTAAAATTTCAGAACCATACAGTTAATACTTAATTTGGAAAATGTTAATCAATTATCTTAGACTTCATTGTCCTTTTATCTCCATATCGATCACTGTCTGTTCTTATTCTCTTCTTTTCGATCTTCTCACCCTTCTACCTATTGACATTTCACTTTCGATTGGCGATACATACTACTTATATCTGTCGACATCAGTAGCACACACAATATTCCTAGAGTAATGGTTAATGCTTTAAAAATTTAGGCTGTAAGATTGCATAGGAAAATATCTACATAACCGTTAAGAAGTAGTTATAATATAGCAGTAAATTAGTTACATTTGTTGACACTATAAGCTATATTAATATTTGAAGTTATCAAGTTATTAGATGTCTAGTGTTACCTAGTTCAGTTTATTCAAATCTGACAATTGATCAATGTGAATAAAATATATATTGATAGATATCAGTGTATTGAGACGGTTTTTTAAATCTTACAATGTTGTACACTAAATCTGAAAATGTAGTTCATGTCATCTCATTTGCATAAAATCCAATCCAATCCAATTTTTTTCTTTAGTTAAGTCTGTAAATTGATAGTTCTAATGAATATTTAATATGAAACTGATAAAGACAGCTTTCCTATTCAGTTTTGAGTTATTTGGCATCGTACTTTTAATTACTTTTCTTCATTTTGATCATTATCAATAAACATAATTTGTGTCAAAAGCTTTCAAAGTCGAATAATATAATTAAACCCAGTTTCCGAAAGACCATACCCTTTTCTATATGTTTACAGTGACCTCAGTTATATAACTCACTTTATATTCTAGGTCATCTTACGTGGTATTAAATGTTCACTTTTGATCAGTAAAAGTAAATAAAATAAACACTTTATGTACTGGAGCACATTATCCGAATAGTATGTATAATCATTAAAAAGATATGTGTAGTTGATACTTAAGTAGTGTATACAATTAACATAGTATGGGTCCAGATATTCCGATGTTATAAACACTAATTAACGACAGATACTAGTATGTAATAAAAGTTAACTTCAAAATAAACAATCACCATTAGTCCTTTAATTTAACATTTCATTCGAAATCCGAAATGATTTAGCTGTGACGTCTGTGTATTCAACTGTAATGATTTCACTATATAATGTTATAGCAGCTCACGTACATTTAAGTTTATTCACATTTAATTTAATCATGCTTTGTTTTGTTGACTCATTTAACGGACAGAGTCATTCGTACAATAAAAACCTATCTATATCATTGTACCATTATTATTGTTGCACTTGTATGAATATGTATGCTTGAGTATTGCCTACTGCTTACGCACCTATTCATTCTTCTAACTTGGGTGTTAATCCCCTAAATGATTCGATGATTCATTCATTTTCCTATGTATATATCTTATCTTTTTCTTCAATATACTTAATAAACTATCACATTCAATCAAGTAATTCAATATGCAGAAACATCTCATTATGACATCCGTACCACCTTATCACTAGTGTAAAAAACTCATTCTAGATCATCTCCCTTTATGAATTACTTTACCTGTAAACTTTCTAGACTCTGGGATTATCTATCACAATCTATCCGTACGATAAAGTCACTCCCATTATTTGTTCGCTGCATTGATGCATACTGCTCCTCTGAAGATGCACTAAATGTTCAAGCACCTGTAAGTTTATCTTATTCCATAAGTGAGATTATAGGAGCATTAAATGTTTAACCACTCTTATTAGTAAATTCCTTGAGTAAAACCACTTACCTTTCTATTACTCTATGTTCACACTGACCCTAGCAACCTTAACTAATTTGAATATTATCTAACATTAACAGTATATCACTGAGTCACATAACATATGCATTATGGTAGACCGGATTGGTATATTTTGGTAATTACTGCTTTGTTGTTCCGTGCTCTCAGTTTTCGTTTTTCTTTCTCTGTTGTAGATAATTATCATAAATTCGATCCGGCACACGAAATGACCTTAAATACACCGTTCATAAATCAACAGGCTTATCACTGAAGAAAAATTAAAAGTTCCAGGTTGATGGCATTGGATCGCTGTAATACATATACTACTTAAACAATTACTGAACTAATATACTTAAAACTATCTTCTATCACATGTTTTTTCTCTACATCTAATGTTACTATTTATATCAAATTGATCATGCCTGTAAACTGGCGTGAATCCGGTAATTATTATTTTCAGAATATTATATACATAATATATTCCGAAAATAATAATGACAGAATTTACGCCAGTTTACAGGCATGATCATTGAGGAAAGCACCAAACTGCATCGTAAGACAAGCCCTCACTTGAAGTCCTCAAGGACAAAGTAGGAGAGGAAGACCAAAGAACACATTACGCCGAGAAATGGAGACAGACATGAGAAGAATGAACAACAATTGAATAGAACTAGAAAGGAAGACCAAGGACTGAGTGAGTTGGAGAATACTAGTCGGTGTCCCATGCTCCATTGGAAGTAACAGGGGTAAGGAAGTAAATATATGTATATATACATGTGCATTTTAATCCTATTCATTCGACTCGCTCGCTCATTTACTCGCTTGCTCTTCAAGACTAGCCTTTCATTCTTACTTTATATGCCTATGCTTTTGGTGACCTGTGCATGGTGCAACAATAAACATGAGCAACGCTTCCTATTCATCTACTGATCTATAAAACAATGATGGCGTTATCTAGTGACGGTTATCAGGCCGAACAGTTTCACGTAGTTTAAGAATAATATCGAATACTACAATGTTTTATGATCAAATATTTAAAACTCGTTCAGTATTTAATTCAAATATAATGATCAGTTTAAATGTAAACCAATGTACAAAATTTAAACCGGGTTACACGATAACTTATTTATCGAATGATTAAAAACAACAACAAAATGCAAATGGGTAAGCAACCGAATGTATTTGGTCCTGAAACTACAAAACATCTTACTAAAATCTGAGAACAATACAGTAAATACTTAATTTGCAAAATATCAATCCATTGTCTCAAACGTGACTATTTCTTTGGCAAATATCGGTCCATTGTTTTAGATTTAATCGTTCTTGCATTTTTATATCAATTGCTTTCCATTCCCAGTTCTTTCCTTCTCAATCTTCTACTGAAATACATTCTATATCTGATTATCGTTATATACTACTTATATGAATGTAAGTATAAGTAGCTCACACCACATATTCATCTTTTATCCTTAAAAATACTTTTCATTATGTTTTTTTTTAAAAATAAAATATTCTAAAACAGTTTTATCATGTAAATTGAATCCCATAGAGAATTTAATATTTAATATATGAGAAGTGTCAATTACTATTTTAACAAAAGTTCAACTCAGGAAGTTATTATTATCATTATCATTATTAGTAAGTAGTGTTACTATTATTATTATTACTATGTTGACCTTTTAATATGATGATAAAATTAAAATTGAGCATATTCATTTTAATAATGTGTGATAAAACAAAAATTCAAATAAGGAGGTCACATTCGACTTAAACAAAAAAACAAGACAAACAAAATGGCAACTTAGTTCATAATGTCAAACAATCTTTTTCATTATAAACAAACGTTAAGCTATTAAATGATTATATTTATGATGCATCTAATATATAAAAATGTCATTCATTACAGCTATTTCACATCAATTATAACATCTTAATAGAGAGTCAAAACTTTAAAAGTTTCCTTGAAGTTTCATTGAAAATAAAATTGGTTCATGATGTTGTTAAAATTCAACAATCTTCACAATTCCTTACTTAAAATTATCTTCTGCTGACTCGTTATTAACTTTGAGAGGTAATTCTCGGAGTTCTAGTGAGAAACTGTCACCAGTGGAATTCAACTGTGTCAGGTTTGAGAAAGTTATCCACTGAACACAATCGAAGACGATCGCACAATACCGTTAGATATCAGCTCAGTGGTCCGGAGGTTAAGCGTTCTCACTAGACCAAATGTCCTTGATACGAATTTTGGATGTACACTACTGAATATTATAGTAGGACGAAATGACCACTCAGTGCTTTCAGATTTTCAATGACTGGGTAACATTGATCGATTCATGATTTCGATGAAATTCGACAATCTCCACAACTTTATGCTATAAATTAAGTTTGCTGAATTTACCAAATAAATTGAATTATTTACCACTATTAAAGTTTGGCTCATTATGTCACGGTATTCAATAATTCACCCTTTTAAGGTGAATGGAAATGTTTGAAATTCAATTCGTTAGATACGATATTGTACGAACAGAAATCTAACAAAAACTTGATATTGATGTTGAATATTATGGTTAATATCCATTACATGTAGATGAAAACAACCATTTTATCTATGTACTATGAATTCACTCCTTTTAAGAATTGCCTTACTTGTTAACAACTTGAAGCGATGGCAAAATATTTATGGTAAAAAAGTAATAAGATAAAAAAGTTAACTTGATCACATTGAAAGGGATTCATCAGTTAAAACTGAAGATCACATTGATGTAGGTATTTGCATATATTTTCCTACGCATATATTTATGCGTTTTAGATTACAGTCACATGAAGGAATGTTTCAAATGATTAAATTCATTCTATTCGACTACATTTCTTATTTTTTACTTTTTCCAGCTAAGTGAACAGTAAGAACTATATATAAAATAACTTTAAATTCTTCAAACTCATCAGCAGACTTTATCGTATAGCAACTAACCAAGTTTGCTTGATTAGAAATGTTTACATTTCCGAGCCAATTCAATCTATGTACAACAATTGTGAACTTGAATGCTACCAAAAGAACTATTCAAATAAATTTTATCAATCTTCAATGTAACGAATAGGATATTTTGTATTCAAAAAACTATAACTTGATTCTTAAGTCGTACACTAATATATTCTATAGCTATTACAAATTCTAAGTTGATTAACTTACTCATCTGTAACTGAGGCTGCATTTTTTAGACATAATGTGAAATAAACATCACATTCTTTTCCGCCAACACGGTCACAAATTTGTCCATTCTCCAATAACGATGCTGGATTGTTATAATCCCATTCAATTTTTAATTGAGCTCCACCGTATGGCTAATAGAATAAGAAAAATGAACATTAAAAATAGATTGCATTTTAAGTATTTCTCATTACTGTTACACGATTTATTTAATTCAAGTCCCAATGACATTAAATTTAGATTATAATAATGGTTATCAGGGAAAACTAGTACATTGATATCACTCAATAGTTATATCTCCATTGACTTCATTTTTCGTCTCAAACTTCAAAGACGTTTAGCTCATATAACATAAAAATTAATTATTGTTCAGCTGCTAGAAATCTTAATGATTGGAATTTTTTACTGGTGACTTTTAGAGGCATAGTTATCACCGTGAGATCATGCACGAAATTCTACCTCCAAACACCAATAGATATTAGCTAGACATTAGATAAAGTCAGGAAACCATTTAGAAAACTTGAACCAGTTCTCAGTTTCTTGTTTCGAATTATAGCTCTGGATTTTCAAGCATTTATTTGTTATTTGGATATTTAATTAAAAAAGACCCGACCGATGTTGCTACCTTAACGTGGTGGTCAGGCTTACCTATCGTGATAAAACAATCGTTCCTCAAGTACCTACCATGCCAAACAGGTCGGTGGAAGAATGGTAAGATTAAAAGCAGTAAATCCAAGGTCCGAAAGCGAAGTCGTACTGCTGACTGTGCAGAGGTGTGACTGCAGTAAGATGCTTCCTTCAGACAACCAGCATGACAGCGATGCTGTCTTCCAACAAGGAGGGGTGGGGTTAGAATAGGTCGACCCTAAAAATGTACACCTCGCCTTATCCCACGGATATCCGTCTCAGGCGGTAAGGTCCCAATAATTACGGAGCTAACACTAAAATTATTCACGAAAAAGTCGTGTCTGACCGACCTCAAGCAGTTTTCCCTTTGGCATGCGGTCACTCTCTCAGGTCACTAAGACCACCTTCAATCCGATTTCCTTTTCAGGTACCTCCAGAAGAGCCTTTCCAGGAAGTGGGCGACCGGGAAGTGATTATCGCCCTCATACCTCTAACAGCCCTCAAGACCACTGTATTCATAATTCGAAAGAAACTGTCTTACAGATTGTCACATATAAAAAGGTTATACATGCACCTAACTTCAACAAATATATGAATATGAGTCCTTAGATTCGAAATTCTTCACACTATTCTTCAAGACATATGGGACATATAGGATAAGATAAAATATAAAACTTCTCTGTCAGTGCCATGCTACATCACACATCCAAATAAAATTATTATGATTTTGTAAATAAGTATTTGATTTTCTGAAAACACTATACAGTCTAAATTAATTATTGTTATAAAAGACCCATTAATTTTAAAGCATATAAACTCAATAGATAGATTTCTTTTTCATTTCAACGAATATATAATTTAAATTCACCTGGTATTACTTACTTGAATCTTCCTATTAAGGTTTAAAACTGCAAGTGATTAGTCTTTTATTGACATATGTACATACTGTGCGTGTTGCCTCGATATTCCCTTAATTCACAAGCTTCATAAGCAAAGATAGGAAGATTCAAGCAAACAATACCAAGTAAATTTAAATTCACCCCATTGTACAAGCAAGTGGTTATCAGAACTTAGTAGCTAAGTGAATAACTCGATTGTGTTTGATGTGGACAGTAGTGGATTCGAGTCCTTGAGTGAACATCAACTCTGAGATGCAAGTACATTCAGATGAAGAGTCTTTAAAGGCCGAAACTGGATTCCACTACTAGCCACGATCCATCTTTGCTTAAAATGTTTGTGAATTAAGGCAATATCGTGGCGATACTCACAGTGAGCATATATACCAATAAGAGACTGATCAATTTCAATCCTACACATCAATGGGTAGATTCAAATAAACAATACCAAGTAAATGTATAACATGTTCATGTTGTAAATAGTATGAAAGTACTAAAATGCAACTGTTCACATATTACTTTCAGACTATATTTCACATTTTACCATTTGTCTTCTTGACACCAGTTCACTACTTTCAACGTAAATCTACTTAGAATTACCACTACGTCACTATGTTTATTAAATCAATTGTCTATAGACTAATCTGTTTAATTCATACCGTATAGCGTAATCAACTATCATATATAACTGAATCAATCAGTAACATAATTTTGATGATTATTGTTTCACTGACATTGCTTTTTCATATTCCTGTTTGAGCCTACGAAAAGTTATCGTGCGTAACAAAGTCATCATCAGATGACACTATATACATATATATATCACATATTATTTTTTGTATTTCCTCTGAATTCTTTGAAAGAAACCACTTTTTTTGTATAACCTCAAACACATATCTCACCATTTGAAACAATCACATTTCATCTCTATTAACATGCTATGATCGAAAAGAATATTCAATATGGAAAATTATACTACAAAAAGATGTTTTCTAACAAGTTAGTTCTTAATGGAATGACTTCTCATATTCACAAACTGACATTCTTCATCATAACAAGATTATGATTGAAAACAAGACAAGATAGGCTATTAAATTCATTACATAAGCTTTAATAACTCATAAGCTGCATAATTATATAGATATAAGAAAATGCTATTGATCATTCAATCTAGTCGTCTAGAATGCAAATTACTATCATATTCTCAGATAAAGAAAAGATTTATCTAATAATTGCTCAAAACAAACTGAATATTGTTAAGTATTTTGCAAATTAGATCAAACACTTTTTTTCTGAAACAATTTGATTTATGTTAATTTTAAGAGATAAACTACTCAAAACTACTGAAAAAAATAGATATTAATATATTTATGACAAATTAAATCATTTTCTGCAGTAATGTGCACAAATATATTGAATCGCTGTTTTATTTTCTATGAATTATTGTCACATTAAAAGGTATGAATATAGAAGCCCTCAAATGCCCTGGTACGGACGAAAGTGAGGATAGTCAGCTCTCTCTCTTTCATTTAGCCGCGTGCATACACTTACTGCCAGGGAAGTTCTACTCAGTGCCTTCTCGCGGCAATGGTGTTGATTACGAAACTGAGAGGACGAAAAGCGAATGTCCGGCGCTTTAACAGGGTTGGTGCATATGGAAGATCTACCTGTGGAAGTTGGGAAACCCCGATTCCAAACCAATGAGGCTCCAGAGTCCTGAAGGAACAAATGGCGTATCAACCAATCGTTGCTCACCGGCTACCATGGGACTGCATCTCTTGATGTTGCTCCATTTCCTTATGGTTCAAACCTTTAGGTCGAAGGCTACGAGTGTGGCCCCCTAATAAAACCACCCGCTTCTGTTTGGGCACCTGGGCAGTATCCTAGCCCTCACACAAATCGAATGACTTATGTGGCGCATATCTATTTGGTGCTTTCTTGCACCTATCTTTATGTTTTTAAATAAGTGAATAAATAATAAATGTATATTAAAAAGACTAGAGATTTGGACGGTAACGAGATGTTCAAGCAGAAATATATTGTAAAAAAGCAATGATAAACGTCTTTAGCTAGATTGGTTTATTTACCTTTATGTATATGTTATGTTTTAATCATATTAGTGATATAAAACAAAATAGAACTTGATAACTGTATTTTTTGTCACAATACCCCCCCGGGAGTTCAAAAACAAAACTCTAGATAAGGTAACATCCATGACTTTTGTATGTCACAGTTAAAAATTTTATAACTGAACTAGAAATCAGTGATTTAAATCTTGAACATCAGTCAAATAATGACATATCTCCTATAATATACAAATACCTCTACAAATCACTTGATTATGTTACAATTCTGCTGTCACTCGTATGTGGCTTTTAGTGCGAAAACATAGAGTTAATTATAAAAGTCAAAAATGAAACTATTTGTTAATGATGATACTACATGGTGATTCATTTCTATAACAAGCTGAATTGAGTAAAAAACGTTTTCCATTTATTCCCAAATCAGTAGCTGTAAGATATCATGTTGACCGGGAGACTTAAATGTATATTGTTGGATTACATAAAAAGTTATGAGTGAGCAGTGATAAGGATTCTTCCCGCCTAACAATTCTCAAAAAGATATCAACTCATGATAAAACTTAACTTCATAAATAGATAATTAAAAAAATACAAACTAATTAATCCATAGTCAATTTCAGATAATTTTAAGAAAAATTCTAACACAATAATATTTAAAGATTAACTGTCTCATATTGAATCTTTTTTCTCATTCGTAACTAAGCCAACAACATATGCATCACTGATTGAAATCATGAGTCAATTGAAGCTAGACCACCATGGAAAACCTGGGAGCACCAGACGGCCGTTTCGTCTTAGTGTGGGACACCTCAGCAGTGCGCACCCACGATCCCGCACATCGCGAGATCCGAACCCAGGACCGGACTTCAAGAGATACTAATGGAGTTCTAGTGAGAAGCCGTTACCTGTGGAGTTCAACCAGGTCTGTTGTGAGATATCAGCTCACTGAAGACAATGGTATACGGTGGCGCAACTTCGTGGATTGGTTGAAGTTAAACATTAACACAGTTGGATGCCAGCCGGCTCAGTCGTCTAGTTGGTTAAGCGCCTGGCGCGAGACTGATAGATCTCGGGTTCCAATCTCGCGGGGCGCGGAACCGTGGATGCGCACTGCTGAGGAGTCCCGTACTAGGACGAAACGGCCGTCCAGTGCTTCTAGGTTTTCCATTGTGGTCTAGCTTCAATTGACTCATGATTCCAATCAGTGAATTTTTTAAAATCTCCACAAAACTCCTGAAAATATGCATCATTCGACTAATGCTTCTGAAAAATACTTTTTTTATGCCAATATTTAATTGAACAAAATTTTGATTTATTTTTTAACTCACTTAATTAGATTCTACATTTAAATGTAGAATTCTGGTTAAATAAGTCAGGCAATGATAGTAACCATTGGGCGAAACTATAATTTATGGACCAACCAATCACATACAAGATAACAGGTCTCGAATTTCGGCGCGAAATTCACTAAACCATTTAGCTAAATAGAGTCTTGATGTTATAGATGATATCAGTTCGTGATAAAAATCC